TCGTGTGTAATTAGTTATGCGAATCCCGAGCGTCCCTGAGTCCGCGCCCACTTGAATCATCGTCACGCTAGACGATTTATGAGGCATGCCGTGCCATCGGCCGTGGGACTTGACTCGAACGATATGCTAATTCGGCGGTCAACAACGGCGGATCGATAATACCTTATTTGGGCCATCTTGGGCCAAAAGAAAACTTGCAGTTCCCAAAAACGCGTGTTTCTCGGCGAATGGAAAGCATTATCTAACCGCTGTAATCGCAGTTGACATTATAACTTTCTCCTCGGTTTTTTTACGGTTTTTCTCGATGTTTTAACAAGAAAAATAAATATATTGACATTATTTTCATTTATTGTGTTCTTCGTTTCAAAATAGTAAGGTGTCTCTCAATTTCTGCATCATTGAATACAGGCTTGTGAATCGAATCCTTCTAATTTCTGCAACAGCATCTCGCGTTTCTGAGGCTATCCGTTTGCATATCATAAATGAAAATAAAGCGTATTTACTAACAATAAACGAGAAGATAAAACATTTTAATTGGCATCGGGGGCCGATAATGATATGAAAGAATACGAGCAATAACACTCATTGTTTTACCAGTAACTCACCGGCAATCTCATCGCGCATTATTGCTGTTTCTTTTTCGCCGGCATGTATACACACGTCATTACGAGCCCGAAATGATTCCGAGAGTCGATGGGCAGGGTGGATGAGGAGAAATGACGAAGAGATAGCCCCCGAGCTCTGACTAGCGGCCGACAATAAAGTCCCGAAGTAATGGCCTATAAAAGGGTTGCGCGCGCGAGCGGCAACGCACCAAGTCCGGATGCGCGCCTATAGCGCACTAGAAACGTATCTTCCGACATTATCGAAAACAGGTTCCTATCCCGAAGCACCGACAATCAATCTTCCCAATGGCATTCGATTGTACGTATCCGCGGCGCGCTTCGAGAATTTCGCGAGCGGTGAATGAGACTCTTCGTTTTCCCAACTTCGTTTCTGCCTTCGATCCCGATCGTCCTTGACGAAGAAATTAATTCTTTCGTGCTTCCGATCGACACCGATAGATGCCTGCTGCAAATAAATATTAAAATTAGCGAAATATATTATAATTATGAAAGAGATTGAGTACAAAAATGAGATAATTTATAAGATTTGTTATAGAGACGAGGAGACTTTGTATGAAAGTAAACTCGTGAATTATTACCTTTCATTTTAATGCTGAACCTTTACCATCTCCTCGATTCAATCTTATATGCAATTATTGATCGACGATAGATCGGTATAAACTATCTTGGTAACTTTAATTTCCTTGGTGAAAGTAAAGCGCAGCATTTAATGTGCCAATTTAATAGATTAACCATTACTTTTCCAATTATTTTTAGAATAAACTTTGAACTGGGCAATTTCTATTTTATATAAGACTAGTATTTTTTTTAATTTATAAAAGTAATTCTGTCTTTTTTTGCTCATGTTAGTTTGCATATTTGTATATTTTTACGCCATTGGATGTGTGTGAAGTATATTTATAAAGTATTCATCTCTCGCCATTCTAATCGAATATGTTCTATCAAATTAATCACGTCACATTTTTATCTTTGCGCTGCCTATGTTATATAACCTTCCGCATTCTTTTAATATTGCTCACTGTTACTATAATTAGCTGACGTAATAGTGGCCGTTGAACTTCGTTAGGAAATTAAGAACGTAAAGATAGGCAAATGTAAATTCTACGATATGAATCACACGGCATCTTATCGGATATTAATCATTGATTATTCAACAATATAAAAAAGTGAAAAAACTAATTAGCATATATTATAATTAATTTTGTTAGCGCGACCGTCAAAGCGAAATTCCGTTGGTAACTTTCTGCACGCATGTTATAAGAATATTAAAGAAATCGGAGAAAGAGAGAGAGAGAAGAGATGCGCTTGCTGTTATTACAATTAACTTCATTAGCGTGATTGTCATTGCGAAACTTCATTTTGGAAGTAACGTTTAATAAGCGAGCATGAATTCCTCGGTATCTCAATGCGGCGGCGTCCTTTAATATGTTGATGAAAAAAGATAAACCCCCGCCGTTATAACAATCGACTTCGTTAGCGCGTTCGTTATATCGCGGAGGACTCCACTGGGAACTCCACCGTTCGCCGATCAAATGCAAGTCCCGTACGCGGCGCCCTTTCGATTGTTAATTATCGGTGTCGTCGCTGAGAAAAGAATAAGTGGGAAGAAGCGAAGTGCAGGAGAAAGAAGAAGATGAAGAAGAAGCGAGAAGAAAACGACACTGGCAAAACGCCAATGGGCAATATAATTTTCTTAACGACGGCGATCGGCGGTCAGCCAATTCTCGCCATGAACTTCGATCGAAGGCCGCCTCGACTATACCGATCTTAATGAATACTTCAAACCGCGAAGTCTTTAATTGGGGTAGCCTACCGATGCGAGAGAAAAAGAGAAAGAGAGAGTGAGAGAGAAGAAAGGGAGAAAAAATGAAAAGAGAGAGAGAGAGAGAGAGAAAGAGAGGGGCCGCGGTGGAAAAGGAGAAAGAAAGAGCAACGATCGGCTTGCATGATTTTTCAGTATTGTCGATCGACATTATCGCCGATCTTTGCAGCGGACTACATTAGTCTCCTGCCATACCCTAATCTTTGCGATCACTTCACGACGGCCGCGCGCTTCGATCTTCACGAAGAAGCTCTCGACTGGAACAGATCGACCCTTGCGCGTCTTTGGCTCGATCGATGTGAAGGGCAAGAGAGAGAGAGAAAGAGAGAGAGAGAGAGAGAAGAGCAAGATCTGGTGAACTTCATTAGCCTTCTTGTATACTTTGATCCGCGCGATCGCCTCGGATATCACTCGATGATCTCGGCGTGCATCGGCGAAGTTAATTCTTCGATCGTGACGACGCTTCATCAGATCTCGCTGTTCGCTCACTTCGGTTTGCTCTTTTCACCCTTTTATGTCCTGAAGGCGATTATCACTCGCGATGCGAGCATTGCGAAACAGTCGATCGTTCACTTACTTCTTTTAATGCGTATCGAAAAAAGCGTGGCAGAGAAAATTGCGACGGGATACCTTCAGCTTTTTAGATTGTATTCTATATTTAAAACTTGAATTTTGTGTCCAAAAATGATTTTCACATTAATATCTGTTTCTTCCACAAAGCTTAATTTATATATATATATATCTATATATAAATTTTAATTTTCATCTATTATCCAGGCTATTCGTACAGATGTAAAAATGTAGAAATATCT